CTTTTTTTTTTTTTTTTTTTTTTTTCAGTAGCTTAAGTATGATTAAGTGTGTTTAACGTGAAACATTCCTATGTTGTTAATGGAAGCATGTGAGTGAGGATAAAACATATCGAGAGAATTTATATTGGTTTATGGGGGATATTATTCACTGTTAGCAGCTATAAATAGAGAACGTGATTGTGTTGTAAAGGATGCACGGGAATGAAGAATGCAGAATGAGACATACCGAAAAGACACATGTTCGTACGTGGAGATAGAAAAATATAGAATTAAAAAAAAAAAAATATATATATATATATATATATATATATATATATATATAAATGAATGAAATTAAAGTTAATTTAGTTGATAATGAAAAAAGGCATTTAAAAAAGAGAGGAAAGGAAGAGTAATAAAAGGGGGAAGGAGAGAGAATGGATAGGGGGAGCGGGCAGGGGCAGGGGCAGGCTTTTGGATTTCGGCGGGGAGGTTGCAGGTGGGGCCCAGGGAAACGTATGTGGCGATATCTTGTCGGTATCTCTGGCAGGCCACGTGGAGTCCGCCACTTCAATGGACCCGTAAAGTTAACTCCACGTGGCAAACAGCCTCCGAAATTAAAAAAAAAAAAAAAAAGAACTGAAGTCCCCAAATTGCCCCTATGATTAGGACCCCTCACGTTTAGGTCCGTCAGCGGTCCCACCGCCCCGCCCCCTGGCTTTCAAAGTTCAGGATAACTAACCCTTGAATTTACTCTCATCCTCCATCCCACCGAACCACCCCCACCACCATAATTTTTATTTACTTTTTTTTTTATAATAATAATAATAATAATAATAAAACTTTTGTAAATTCATTAATTTCAACTGAATAATTTTATCAAAATTCATAAATTTTTAATAAATTAAATCTAAAACCTTGTGGTGATTTTTAATTTATTCTTAAATAATAGAACAATTTTTAATTAAATTATATTAAAATTGTCACATTTTTTATTTACCATTTTTTAAAATTTATTTTTATTATTTTGCTAATAAATTAAATGTATAATAATAATAATTTAAAAAGAAACAAAATAGGACATATTTGAACTTTCACACTATCAAAACACCCAAAATTGATGTCTGTGTCCAAGTAGTTGAGTTATTAAATACAATTAGTTTAAAAATTAATTACCAGCAGTAAAATTAATTACTGTAAAACTATTTATATCCAAAAATAAATAATTTACTTTTTTTAATTTTTTATCATAATATATTTATAATTCTATTTAAAGTCTAAGTTGGATTTTACGGTATCTCAATCAATTTATATAAATTTTAAATAGTAAATTTATTGTTAATTTTTTTTAGATAATTTCTTATTTAATTATTTGGAAAATTATTATCTGACGTGACAATTGCCTAAGAATCCAACGGCCCACTTGCTTGACCCGTGATTGTTGAAAAGAGAATGCAATAATTAAAAATGCACAAATATTTAATTACCTTTAATATATATATATATATTAAAAATTAAAAATTGAGGATAAAAGTATTTTTAAATTAAAAATATATTTTTTTAAAATTTAAAAGTAGTTTTAAACTTAAATAAAATATATTTTAAAAATTAAAGGTAATTAATTAGGGATTGCCGCCAAAGGAGTGGTGTGGTGTCATTTCGTGGGAATTAATTGGAAATCCAAAAAAGAAAAAAGAAAATAAAAGAAAAAAAGAGGAAAAAAATGATTGGTGGAAAAGAAATGAATATCCAATTGAATTAATTTATGAATAAAATAATATTTCTTAAGAGAAAAGGCAACGCCGCAGCTCGGGGAGCTCTGATTGGTTCCATTTGGAGGTTGCCTTTGGCTCTTCCTATTATCTCCTAACACATGAGAGAGAATTTTTATTTATTTTTTTATTTTATATTTACTCTTTGCCCCCTCAACTTTCACTTTATTTACCTTTAGTCCTTCACTTTTCAAATATCGCACTTTGATAAATTTACTGACGCGTTTTAAAATTGTGAGGATAAAGACGATACGTAATGGACTAAAATAGACAATATCTGTTGAAGGTGAGATTGAGCTGATACGTGTTGGAGAGGGGAACGAAACTTCTTATAAGATGTGGAAATCTCTTTCTAACCTACGTGCCTGAAAATCGTGAGGCTAGATAAACTTTGATCAAATGTTAAGTTTCTATTCATTTAAAATAATTAAATTATTTTTTATTTAAATAAATTTAAGGTTAATATAATCTAGAAATTCAAATGTAATATTTTGAAATTTAGAGATCAAATAAAAATATATTTTTGGACCAAGATTTTAAATATTTGTAAATGTCGATATTTATATATTTATCATAAATATTTAAAAATTTAGGGATGAAATAAAAATTAAAATTTGAAATTTTAAGGTTAAAATTGTAATATTTTAAAATTCAACGTTCAAATAAAATTAAGG